TCATTCTTGATTCCTCACTGTCCCTCACCCCCCATATTCAATCAGTTGCCAAGACCTATCAATTTTGTTTTTGCAACATCTCTTCACTATACCTTCTCTCCTCTCACACTACAGGCCCTTATCATCTCATAGCTGAACTGCTGCAATAGCCTGATGGTCAGTTTGCCAGCCACAGGTCTCTCCCCTCTCCAGTTCATCCTCCATTCAGCTGCCAAAGTGATTTTCCTAAAACCGTAGTCTGACCATGTCACCCCCAATACTTAGTAAACTCCAGTGGCTCCCTATCACCTCCAATATCAAATAAGAACCCTCTCTTTGGCATTCAAAGCCCTTCACAACCTAGCCTCTTCTACCTTTCCAGTCTTCTTATATCTTACATCTCACTCCCATATACATATATATTCCTCAATCCAATGACACTAACCTCCATGCTGTTCTAGGAACAAGACAATTTATGTCTTAACTCCAGGCATTTTCTCTTGCTATCCACCATGCTAGGAATGCTCTACCCTCTCATCTCTGCCTCCTGGCTTCCTTCAAGTTCCGCTAAAATCCCACCTTCTAGGAAGCTTTTCTCACTTCCTTTTAATTCTAGTGCCTTACCTCTGTTAATTATTTAATATTTATCCTACATATAGCTTGTTTGTACATATTTGTTTGTCATTTCCCCCATTAGATTGTGAGCTCCTAGATGGCAAGGACTGTTTCTCGCCTTTCTTTGTATCTTCGCTTTTGTCTGCCACATGGTAGGCATTTTAAAAATGCTTATTGACTGACTAACTGATGGGGCCATTTGATGAAGTAATGAGCTCTTCATTAATGAGATACACTTAAGTAGAGACTAGGTGATCATCTACTGGGATATCACTCCATTTAGGGTTTTATACCATCCACAATCAACAAACACTTATTAAGTACCTACTATCTTCCAGTTAGAAGGCAACTAGGTAGTGATGTAGATAGAGTGCTGAGGCTGGAATCAGGAAGACCTGAGTTCAAATCTAGCCTCAGACATCTACTAGCTGTGTGACCCTGAGCAAGTCACTTAACCTCACTTTGTCTCAGTTTTCTCAATGTAAAACGGAGATAATGACAGTGCCTACCTCGAAGGGTTGTTGTGAGGATCAAATAAGATAACATTTGTAAAGTGCTTAGCACAGTACCTGGCACATAGTAGGTATTATATAAATGCTTATTCCCTACCCCTGCCCCTGCCCCTTCCAGGTTCCTTTCCCTATAGCATCTGGGAATACAGAGGCAAAAATGAAATGGTCTCTGTTCTCAAGAAGCTTACATTCTCTTCAGGGAAACCCTCATGTCCCTTAGAATGACCTTTAATGTCCTATCAACTCTAAAATGTTGTTAGACTCTCAGTCTCCCTACATCCATTCATACAGCCAAGACTACTGAACACCACAATTATCTTTCAAACTAAAGAAACCCAAGAGCACACTTTATACTTTCTTCAATGGCTCCCCTTAGTCACTGCTGAAGAATGGGTCTTAAGCAGGCAAGGTCCTCCTTAATCTGGGCTTAAACTATGAAGCTGACACCTCTCTCTTCCACTACTCTCCAACACAACCTTCTAATGCAGCCAGACTGGTGTCTTCTCTCCCTGCCAAGGAATATGTCTGACTCATTCCAGCCTTCATATGACTTTTCTCAAGGTACCATCTCTACCTGGAATACCCTCACCCATCCTTTCAGATCAGTCAAATTCTACTTAGCCTTCAAGGCATAATTGGAGTTAAACTGACTTCAAAAGTCTCCAATCCACAGTGAATTTTCTCTCCTTTGATCTCCTGTGTCCCTTATTAGCCAAACCACCCATTTGGCATACATGGCTTTGTATCCTTACTTTATATCTTTTCTCCTAAACTAGACAAGAACTTCCACATACTTTTCTGTATCCCCTATGAGACCTAGTGCAATGTTACATACTCAATGAACAACAAATATCAACAAGCATTTAGTGAGTGCCTGGTCTGAACTAGGCACTAGGGAATGAACTAAGGAATTGGTGGACTAGTTGTAGCCCTGATGAACTACCTTCAAAGATGAAGTGGTGCCGTGAGCTGAATCAATTTACATGGCACATGTCTGTTCTTGTAGGCATTCCAGACACTTCTACCACTTGGCAGTCTTGGGAACTTGGGCAACATCGCAAACAGAAACAACAGGAGAGCTCATTAAAAACTTTTTCACAACCATATGCATTGGTTTGCTACACGTAAAAAACCTTTTTCTTAAATCTTAGACTGTTGGTTTATCTGGCAATATAGTTCCACCTAACTTTGCTGTGGGGGCAGCTGGGTAGTGCAGTGGAGTGCTGGGCCTGGAGTCAGAAAGACTCATCTTTGTGTGTTCAAATTGGGCCTCAGGCACTTACTAGCTGTGTGACTTAACCCTCTTTGACTCAGTTTCCTCATTTGTAAAATGAGTTGGAGAAAGAAATGGAAAACCACTATAGTATTTTTGCCAAGAAAATCCCCAAAGGGCTAATGAAGAGTTGGACATTACTGAAAACAACTAAACAAACTTCTGTATAAAAATCAGATTTTTGACACATTCTCAGCACAGTTTGACTCTGCTCCTAGTGTGTTTTTCATAGTTTCACAGGATAGATCGGACAGAAATTCCTCCAGTTCATTCCTTAACTAACTGCCAAAGGACTGAAAATATGTTGCTTTTCCCCCTCACTAATCTTGAGTCCTTAACCAGCTTCTTTAGACACAAGCTGAAGATAAACTGCTCTCTTGACTATGGTCCTTAGCTTGACATAAGCTACTTAAATTAAAATCTGGTCTCAGACACTTACTAGCTGTGTGACCCTGGGCAAGTCACTTGACCCTGTTTGCCCCAGTTTCCTCAACTGTAAAATAAAGTGGAGAAGGAAATGGCAAACCACTCCAGTATCGTAACAAGAAAACCCCAAATGGAATTGTGAAGAGTCAGACACAATTAGAACAACTAAACAATAACAATTTATAAAACTGAAAATATTATGAAAGTTTTTTTTTCTGGCCTAAAAATAACCCTTTCCTTACTTCCTGGTTTGAAAGTGGGATAGGTCAGGACAAAAGGATGTAATGTCCCAGCTGGATAGTTTGCTCATATGCTCATCTCCACAACTCAACACCTTCCTGCCAAGGCTAAGGGTATCTCAGCCCCTTGAAGAAGAGCCCAGCTTGCTCTTCAAAGGCCACCAGAAGTATGGCTTTTCCTAACCACTCTACAGTCTACCAGATTTGATTTCGAACTTCTTCATATCTCCTAAAGAACCAAAAAAGTGTAAATGCCTCTAACACTTCCTCTATAAGGTTTGAATGGGACAATCCCAAACTGCTTTTCAGTTCACTAATGGCATCTGGTCGAGTGGCATCTGGGTTGTGTTACTGGAAATCATGGCTATCCTCCTTACATCATCTCCAAAAACACCCTAGCTTTTTTTTTAATCATAATTATAGATTTTGCTATCTGGGAATTCATCAGAACTATTATTGAAATTATTTACATATTCAAGTTGTACAAACTCTGGGGAGTAATATGTTTCTTTCTCTTGGGTATAATGAGCATGATGCAGGTCAGCCTGGGAAGAGTTCTTACATTATGATGCATGATAATTGAACATGTCACATAATAAAATCTCTAGTGTCTGGGATTAGATTAATATCAGATCTATTACTTATTCTAAGTCAGCAACAATACAAAAAAAGTAATTACGACGTGTTCAAAAATATAGGTTTTTGGACAACAATGCTGTAAAAAGAAAGGAGACCGAGTAATCTAAGATGCTTTAAATCAAGGGAGGGATGAGAATGGATGAAAATAACTTGTATTTCCCATCCTTGTTATTTGGATAAAATTTAGGAGACAGCATAATTTAACATCTATTAGTATTCTTGCCTATGTTGATTCAAAGTCAGAAAAGTAGAAGGTTCTTAGATTTTATTCCTAATGAACTTTGGCTGCCATACGATTCTTAATAAGTACCATTTAGTACTTATTAAGTATATATAAGTACTCTTACTTCATTTTTCCCGTACAAAATAGTAGGAGAATATGGTTTGGACATTTCTTTAAACAGCTCCCTAGAGATAGAGGGGTCAGACAGATAAAGACAGTCACAAACTAGAGCATTGATCATACTCAGTCTCATTCTAGGGGAACTTTTATTCATTAAAATAGTATTTAGAACTGTGATTCCCAAATTGTTTGGATGAGATTCTCAAGAGAATTATAGGGTTACTGTTAGGCATCCATGTATCCATATGTACACCAAGTGTTGCCATTATCACTTTTTGTTTTTTTAGCTATGGCAAATTATATGATGTAATAAAATGGATTTTGTCTGGATGGTTTTGAAATATTGGCATTTCTCTCTTTTTTTGGCCTGTAAGAATGATATATGACTTTTTTCTTTTGTTGAGATGTCCCTCCTAGAAATTGTGCGTCCTTGAAATTTATGAGGTACCTAATCGGCTTTCCCACACATACATTACTGAAGGCATAGTCATTTTTTGTCATTGTATATTTCTCAATCAGCAATCAACAGTATAACGACTTCATGTGAAAGCCTGAAAGATTTTCTGAAGATAAAAAGAGACTCTCAAGACACAAAAACACTGAAAACTGCTGACTTACATCTTTATAGCAGTGTGATCACAGAAAGAGAATAGAAGAGGAGGGCTACAGCTGGATTCTAGGTGCAAATACTAATAATATTTCATATACAAACATATTAAAAACTACAGCCACATTCACAATTTTAATGTCCAATATAAGGAGACAAAAGGTACAATTGGAAATTAAAATGAAAACCCATGATGGTGTGTAAAAGGGTAGTATTAAAGGGAATGTTAAGGGTTGTATTAATAACATGGGTGCTGGTTACATTAGTCAATGAAGTGCTTTTCAATCAATCAAGAATTTATTAACCTCTCACCACGGAGCAGGCACTATTCTAGATGCTGGGGATACAAATGCAAAAAATTACTTACTGTGCAGTGAGGTAGCCCTCCAAATAGCCCGCTACAAACATGACAAGCTCATTGGTCAAGGAACCGGCACCATAACCAGCTCTTATCTCCAAGGTCCCCCAGCCTGTAGTTTGTATAGTGTCATTGTAAAAACCATATGCATCTCCAGCCGGGTCTAAATCATCTTTGACTTCTACTGACAATGTGGAGGGGTTCCAATAAACAGTTGCATAGTTGATTTCTGAAGGAGGAAGAAGAAAAATATATACAATCATTTTTCAATCTTTTCTATGTTACCTGTACTTCCAACCATGGCATATTATGTACCTTAAGGTACTGAAAATGCCAGCTATTAGTTAACTCTAGAAGACTCACTGTAGCAGACTTAAGCCACTCTTGCATTTAATGATGTCCAGACTGTCGGGGTTGGGAAGTATGTCCATCTGTCTCTTGTTCTAGGTAGGTAAGAGTCCAGATCAAGTGTGATGAAGAAACAATTTAGGAGGGTTGGAAGAGATCAGACAGGCTGTTGCTCAGATCCTACGAGAAGGGATGGTTGGAACTTCTGACTTTGATCTTGATATCAAACTCTGTTATGACCCACTCATGGCATTATAGTTACTTCACGGGATATCAAATTTCCACTTTGGCAATTGTCTTTCCCAGCCTTCTACCGACATTCATTGTCCTGGTCTTATCTCCTAACTTCTTGGTCCTTTTAGTACACACTGAAGACTTCCTATCAAGATGACTGTGGGAACAAGCCACAGACTACCTAAATCCCACATATGTGAAGTTCGTACCAGAATGAATGATGATCCATAAATTCAATGAGAAACTCTAGTAAGTGACTTCTTCCACCCCAGAATGACACAAAATCAATCAGAAGCCTCTGGCCAATAGAAATGAGACTCTTTCAGCAAGGTCAGCACAGGTGGTAGATAGCTTTCTAGTATGGCCAGAGTCATGACATGTGTAGCCTGCTAGGCTCTGTGTCTGGAGGCAGCAAGAGCAGAGAGCTCACCTAAGAAAGCTCAAGGGTAATCAGAAAGCCCCTGGGGAGGGACTTTTGAAGCCAGAGGGGAGTAGCAGCAAGCAGTGACCAAGTGAGGTCCCTTAATGTTCAGACCAGGAAACCCCAGGCTCACGAGCTCTGAAGTCCCTAACACTTTGTTCTAAGATTCTAGAGAGGGCTCTAAAAATTCAGCTTCCTGAACCTCAAAGATCCAGGGAAACTTAACCTCCAGAGGTGGTGTTCAGCACAAGAACCCAAGAGATCCAAGGTGAGACCATCCAACCAAAGGGTCAGCAGGGGACAGATCGTAGTCAGGAAACAAAACCCCCATTCAGGAACTAAAGCTAGAGATGAATAAATCAAAGACATCACCAACCAGTATCAGAAATTATTTTAATTAAAGAGGTTGTCAAAAAGGAGATGCAAGTAACTGTAACAACTGCAAGTAGAGAATTTTTTTAAAAATTGATTTTCAAAAGAACTATATGTACACCTAGAAGAAATCAAGCAAGAGATTGTTTTAAAAAGGAAATAAAAATGCTGTAGGAAAGAATTGGAAGAAGAATAAATAGCCTAGAAGAAAAAGTGGCAAACCTTACCCAAGAAATAGACTCTCTGAAGACCAAAACAACTTCCTACTGAGACCAACCAAAAATTAATGACTCCATAAGACAGAAAGAAATAATAGAACAAAATCAAAAGAAGTAGGGCAAGAAAGGGGTGATGAGATATTGTGATGTGTGGTGAGTGAGAAGGTCCAGAGGACAGAAGGTGAGTTGGGTAAGTCCATGCCTGAACCATTCCTCCACCCTTCCTGACACCTTTGACAGTCTAGAGAAGCCAATGAATCCCCTTTCAAAATAATGTGTTCAAATGCAAAAATACAATTCACAGATTATAAAGGGTGACCATGACACCTCCCTCCCCATTATTTAACATTTGGTTCTTTAGATTTGTAGGAATTGAGTGAACCACAACTAACTACATCTTGTGACTCGATTCTGGAGCTGGCTCAGTTCCCTTTCTGTTCAATTATGGGTCTATCCCAATTTCTGTCTTGTGAGAACATTTTATTCAATTATGAGAATTTGGAGAAAGCCTTATTGTTTGAACCTAGCCCTGCATGGCTAAGAATCTAGATCACCTCTACCTGCTGCTTAGAAGTCCTTCCTTAACTAAGGACTTAAGTTATGCTGACCAGAAACCCGGTCAGATCACAAGATTGATACAAGGAGTTTTCTTATAATTATACATCTCACAAAACCCGTATATCTTATCTGAAAACACCCTGTACTGGTCAATTGGTTATTCTTTCCATGTTCCTTTGATTGAAGACAGTCACTTGCAGCAAGTGGGATACCTCTTTTTCTGATTTCAGGGAATTGTACCTATTCATTCTCTTCCTTCCATTTTGGAAAGTCCCTAATCTTTCTTCCAATTAAAAATCAGATTACCTTATTTTGTATCCCGGTTAATAGCTTTTTAAAAAATTAATTGGTTTATTTGATTAATTACTTTTAATGCATAAACGTCTTTCTCTCCCCGTATTTGGGTTCTAGTGTCAAAGCTGAGGAAGGCCTGATTTTTTAGGCAATTGGCATACATTGCTTAATAAATTTATATCCCTGGAAGCTCCAACCTTTGTTTTCTCAATCATTTCATCTTTCACCTGCCACAACGGAAAGGAAGAGATTTAGCTTAACTCTCAATAGATATTAGATATTGCCACTGTTTAGATGGACTTTTCAATACTTAACAGTAGTTGAAAAAGAACTTGATTTAAATATGCACTGTTAATATATTTATATAAAGAAGCACAACTTTCAGATGTATTTGAACACATTTTGAAAGAAAATTATTTGTGGTGTAAATGTGAGGACTTGGATCTCTTTGCCAACAATGTGGACTGATGCCTTGCTTGTGGAGGAACAGTATAATGTTATATAAGAAGGACAAAAAGGATCATTTGTTTAAAAACAAGAGAAATATGAATGTAAGGAAACAGTTTCAAGGGCACCAAAGAGTTGGAGGACCCATTTAAAAATGTTTTTTAAATTTTATTTTCTCAATTATATGTAAACAAAAATTTTTAATATTCATTTTTTTAAAATTCTGAGTCCTTCTCTCCCCTCCCCTCTCCTTGAGAAGGCAAGCAATTTGATATTGATTATACACGTGCAGTTATGCAAATCATTTCCATATTAGCCATGTTGCAAAAGAAAACATAGACAGAAAAACCCAATCAAGAATAAAACAGAAAGTAAAAATGTATGCTTCAATCAACATTCAGACTCCATCAGTTCTTTTTCTGGAGGTGGATAGCATCTTTCATCATGAGTCCTTTGAAACTGGAGGACTCATGTTTAAGCCTTCTTAGCAGGCATTCAATGAATTCTAGTTGAGTTGAATTGAACTTCTATTATCTCTGGCGCATCTGACCATGCCTGTGTTGAACTTTTTCTTGGTCCAAATGATGTTATTTGAAGCCTAATTGTTTGGAATTTGCTCAAATTATATTTAATTCAAGAAACAATTTATCAAGTACCTACTATGCCCAAAGTACTATGCTAGACACTTGCAATAATCCTTGCTCTCAAGAATCTTACGTTTTCCTGGGTTCAAGACATTTTTCCTCCTTGTTCTTCTGTGACTTGACCTCTCTCTCCTTCACCTGAGAAAATCTTCAGTCAATTAATTTCTGTGTGGTGCTTCGTGAGGTTGTTACTTCCTTAACTCCCTACACTCAGCACTGAAATGATCTCTTCCTCCCCCTTTAGCGTACAGTCTGGCACACAGTAAGCACTTAATCAAAACTTGTGGCCTTGATGCCCTCTGCTTTGTAGGATCCCAAGCTTTCTCCAAGGTATAGTTAACAATACCATGAAGGAGCATTGAATTTGGATCCAGAAGACCTAAGATAGAAACTTGCCCTTCCCACTTTCTGCCTATGTGAACTGTGTGTCACTTTATTTCTCTGGGCTTCAGTTTTCTAATTTGCAAAATGAAGACTCTAAACCATATGGTCTCCAAGGACTCTTCCAGCTCTATGACCTCCCACAAGAGGCTTTCCTGGTCCCCAGTTCTGAGCGCACTTCCACCTCTACCCTTCCCAAATAATTTTGTTATTTGCTCTGTCTGTATATATTTTGCTCTGTGCATTCTGTTTTCCCACAGTAGAATATAAACTCCTTGAAGGGAGGGACAGCTTCATTTAGGTCTTTTATCACCAAACCTAAAATAATCCCCAGAACATAGTAGCCAATAAATGAATGCTTGCTGGATGGAATTAAATGTCTTGCCATATTTAGAAATTTGCTTTTTCTGCATCCTTACTACCCTCATTGAATCATTTATAGACAAGTCAGATTACATTTTGGGAACAGATGCATACCTGGGCTAAACATGTCGATCCTTGGTTTTAAATAACCATATACTCAAAGTATTATTGAATTTGCAAAAGAACTCTCATCCCCTTCAGCAAGGCTGAGTCATGCATCTCAGCACCGGAATGTGTCTCTTGGTGGTTTGCTTGAGCCAAGCTTCCCAATGAATGGGGTTTTCACCATTTTTCTAGGGATTAATATATGATCCTATGGTTTGTATAGATTTTAATCCTTTAGACTGAAGTGCCCTTATAATTATTATTACTAATTGTTCCATACTTTCATAGGCTGAATAAATTCTTGTGTTGCAGCATAACATAGAAGCTACTTAAGATGGTTAGGGCAGCTTTTCTAGCAGCATATTTAAAAATAAAATTTCCAACAGACTTCAAAATATAAATAGTGTTTTCATGAGGGGCCTGAATATACTTGATTCAAAGGAAACCAAACGAAATGCCAAATAAAAAAAAAAACACCTCCAACCCCAAAATCCAACCCCACCCCAAACCAAAAGGTGGGAGAAAATGAATCACAAATTTCATAACTCACGTTAATATGACTTTAATGAGATAAAAACAGAATTGAAATAGGGAACCTATTCCTAAAGCAGAACCATGGGGGAATATATTTCTCTTTATCACCTCAAAGGAAATTAATGTTTCATAAACTAGAAATTATAAAAGTAAATCATGCTGAAAGAAATTTAAAAGCATTACTGTATTAACTCAAGTCCTAATAAAGGATATTTTGGTCTCAGATTCTGATTTGAGTTGTCCAAGAAGAGACAGGGTCAGAGGAGCACTTCTTTGGCTACAAGTAATTACTGAGTGTAATTTGGCCTGATTACCCACTGGAGGAAAAATAAATGGGTGAATAATGTCTCTTCTCCAGACTATGGTATCTATTTGGTTGGAAGAACCATAGAGCTTGTCTATCAATACATTTAACTGAGGGGTTGTAAAGGGATGATAAACTGGGGCCAGAATGAACAAGAGGAAGAGAGAAGGCTGGATTTATCTTTGGGATATTGTACTATTGTATAACCCTGACCCTCTCCCTGAAGCAAAAGCCTATTAAAATACTCTTTTTCTTTTCTTTTCTTTTCTTTTTATTTAGCATACCAATTTGATACCTTCTGTTTTTATTTCAAACTCATTTCTGAATATGTCCCTTCGCCCTCCAGTACCCATCAAGCCCCTGTAGACAAGATTGAAAAAGAGGCGGGGAAAACCAGTTCAGCAAAACTTGCTGATATATTGGGGGCAGCTAGGTGGCGCAGTGGATAGAGCACTGGCCCTGAAGTCAGGAGGACCTGAGTTCAAATTCAGCCTCAGATCAAACACTTGACACTTACTAGCTGTGTGACCCTGGGCAAGTCACTTAACCCCAATTGCCTAAAATAAAAAAAAAAATTAAAAAAAAACAACCTGATGATATACTGACAGTATCTGAGAGTATATGGAACATTTCACACCCACAGTCCCCAACCACAGAGGGAGAGAGGTGCTTGTCTCCAGGGTCAAATTTGATGATTATAATCAACATTTCATTTTATTACATTTTCCTTCTTTGCTATCTCCTTTCTGTGTGGCATATTCTCCAGTCTCTTTCAGTTAGAGCCCTCCAACTGAAAGTTCCACCACTGTGACCCCAGGCTCCGATTGGCAAGTATTCACCTTGTTTGCTGTTCTTGTAATTGTGTCACATCCTACTCTTTGTGATTCCATTTGGGGTCTTCTTAGCAAAGATACTGTAGTGGTTTGCCATGTCTTTTTCCAACTCATTTTATAGATGATGAAGTGAGGCAAACAGGGTTAAGTGACTCACTCGGGGTCACTTATTGAATTGAATTCAGTGGTTGCTTCCAGGAAAGATCACAGCTAGGGCACGTTTTAGCCATCTTTCAGTACCCTGGCTGAGAAAGGGCTTCCTCATCTAGGTCAGTTTGAGCCTCCTCACGAATCCTGCAACTTTACAAGAGACTGCTTTTCTGCTTCATAGTAAGAACACTGTATTTAAATGTGCTGTTGTTTAGTCATTTCAGACTTTTTGTGAACTCATCTGGGTTTTTCTTTGGCAAAGATACTGTACTGGTTTTCCATTTCTTTCCCAGTTCATTTTACAGATGACGAACTAAGGCAAACAGGTTAAGAGATTTGCCCAGGTCACATAGCAAGCTAGTGTCTGAGACTGGATTTGAACTCCAGTCTTCATGCCCAGTGCTCTCTTCACTGTGCCACCTAGCTGCCCATTTAAACATGGACTTGGAACAAAAATACTTAGTCCCAGCCCCCTGGCCCATCTGCCTAGGAGTTAACGCCTTTGTGTCAGTCAGTACTGCCACTGTAAAAACATGTGCACCCTGAGGCACACCTTCTGAATCAGTTTGAATGTCCACACACCTGGCTCATTTTTTACTGTCAAAAATGCCAGCCCCGTTCTCTCCACCTATTCTAAGCCTATCTGGCATTAAAGGCCCAACTCAATCTCCCAACATTCCAACTTTTTGTTTACTCACTAGTCATTCTAGGGAAAACAAGAAGCACACCCACGCTCCCTCTAACTCTCTCCTTGCCTCCCAAAACTTCACATACAATAAAAAACATGGTTCTGGATAATTCATGGGTGCTATTCAACCACTATCTCCCAAAACGGCAGCAGCAAAGAAAGGAGAGACAAGGTGCATCGACAAATAATGGTTAGCCCTTTCGCCTTTCCCCCTCCCCCCTCACACGTCATACAATCCTCCACAGGTAATACCAGCAGCACAAAAGCTATTTCCATTTCTGGGACAATCTCCACCCTCCCTTGGCATGCCTACTTCCAAAGTTCTCTTGGCAGTACCTACAAGTACGACTGAAAATCAAATAGTCCATAAAGAGTTAACAGAGGCGTATCAGTGGAAGAGCTAGACAGCTGATCTCATTCAGGAACAGAAGGGTTCAAGTCTTACGTCTGACACATTACTGGTTGTATGACTTTGAACAGGACACAACTTCTCAGAGCCTTCTAAAATTAAAAACTGCAGAGCTGTGGCTGATACGCATGGGAGTGGAGTGGGGAAGTTCCCCTAACAGGGAGTTTCCTGCACCTGTGAAATCAGAAGTCATGCTTTCCCCTTCTCTGCACTCCCCCCAGCCAAATGAATAGCGCTCAAAAGCACGCTAAGCTGATTTATTCATTCATTCGTTTGTTTGTTTGTTTGTTTACTAGCTGGAGTGCAAAGGAAGGTGTGCATGTACCACTCCAGTATGCTAAAGGCCGAGAACGGGAGAACCAGAGATTTCTTTGGTGGGAGGAGGCTAGTTGAAATGAATATGCCTCAAGTTCATAAAAGAGGAACTAACATCTCAAAAGTGTGTTGGAGACACTTACTGTGTCTCAAGACACAAAAGTCGTCGTCGTCCCATCCCCCTCCCAAGTTAAAATGAAAACATCTTCCCAGCTCTCCACCCCATTCTTGCGCAAGGTTAGCACAGAAATTAGATTATGAAATAAATCAAAAAGAATCCGCTCCAAAGCCTTCCACCTCTCCAAAGTGGTTCATCCCTGTTGATTTTTTCCATTGGGAACAAGACCTACAAACCCCTCAAATACACTGGGGAACGAGGGTGGAGGTGGGGGAAGGAGGGGAAGGTGTGTTTAAGTTCCAACCCTTTTAGTAGGAGAGCCTGCCTGAATTCTGAGTCGTCATCGAAAGTTAATTCCAATTCGCACCAACTCGATTTCTCTATTGGCTAACGTGGCAAAGCTCTTCAGATGTCCTTGGAGATTGTACAGCCAACCCAAACTGCACGCACGGGCTAAGTAATGTTCCGGTCAGGAAAATTTGACAACTTAACTAAGTACCACGACTTCTGGCCAAACTTTTCAGGGTGCTAGAAACACAGAGCTTCCTACAAAAAAAAAAAAGGCTGGGTTAGAAGAATGGGACCGCTAAAGGTGCATCTGGAGAAGGAGAGCTCAGTTTCTCAGCAGAAAGAAGTCCGTTTGTTGGCATTCACCTAAAACAACAAGAGCTAGAAATAAACCTTGTGCCACTGGTTGCCTCCTGGTAGCGAGGCGCGGAGCCAGGTGTGCGCAACGTGGAGCACCAAGGACGAAGGAATTCGAGCTGCTCGCCGTCCTCCCCCAGCCCCAGAGCCTTCCATCACCTGGGGGAGAGAATCAAGAGCCGCTGCTGGGGCATGGGTCAGCCACCTTACCCCCTGGGCCAGAAGCAGCATATCTGCTGCCCTCTTTCTTGCGGGCCTGGGCTTCTCCTCTCTCCCACTTTCTGCTCGCTTCCCCGCAGCTCCCTGAGGCTCCCCCTGGGCACGGGCGCTCTCACCTGCTTGGGTCACTGGAGCGGAGAAAGTTAGTAGCACCAGCAGCGCCTGCAGCGGCCACAGCTGGAGCTTCCCGAAGCAGCTGAAGCGGGTCATTGCTGCGTTGGGTCTGGCTCCTCTCTGCCTCCGCTTTGATGTCTCCGGAGCCTCCCTCTGTGGCAACAAGTTGAGGACTTCCCTTTCAGCCCCTCCCTGGCTCTCCTCTGCTAATTACCCCACTCTCTCTAAGGGAAGGGGTCCTGACGTGACCCCTAAAACAGACCACTCCCTGGCTTGGCCACTGCCTTACAAGGGCATATTGATTTCTGACCTCCTTGACCTGACCCCGACATAAACAGGGAGCTGAGAAGGAAGCTCTCCACTTGACCACTGTAGTTTTGCTGATGCTGGGTTCCGAGAGGAGGGAAGAGAAAGGGGCTCAAGACTTACAGTCAATCGACAAGCATTTATTACGTGCCTGAACTAATTACTGAAACAACAAATAGACACCGCCAGGTGTTCCGCTGCCATACAGAAGCAGGGAGAAGGGGCAGGAGGGAGAGGGAAATATGATAAGGAACACTGAAAAATCATAACATTCACTGATTTCTGCCCCACAGGATTATTCCTAAATCGTTTAGGATAAGTATCTGTCCTACTCCTATTTTTAAAACTTTCAGAAAAGGAACATAATAATAGCTAACATTTATATAGCGTTTATCAACTGTGCTAAGCACTATACAATTTTTGTCTCAATCCTCACAACCCTGGGAGGTTATTATCCTCATTTTACAGGTAAAGAAACTAAGGCAAACAGAGGTTAAATTACTTGCCCAGAGTCACAAAGTTAATAAATGTCTGAGGTCAAATTTTAACTCAAGTCTTCTTGACTCTAGATCCAGCACTCTATCCACTGTTCTACTCTACGCCCGAAATTTATTCTGTTATTTAACACTTCACCGGTATGGTGTCTAACCCAAATCTAGCTTCTCTAGTTATGCTTTTTTGAGGAAAGTATGTATATATATATACATATATATGTATATATATATGTACATATGTGTATATGTGTGTATATGTATATATAATATATATGTATATATATTAGCATTCACATAGTGCTTTACACATATTATATTTCGTTCAATCCTCTTAACAACCCTGTGAGGTAGGTGCTATTATTGTAGCAGATGAGAAAATGAGAAATTTTACAAATGAGAAAACTGAGGTTGAGAGAGACTAAGCGATTTTCCTAGGGTTACACAGAGACTATAATTGTCTGAGGCAACATTTGAACTCAGGTCTTTCTGAACCCAAGTCCAGCACTTCTATCCACTGAACTCTCTCACTCTCTTTCTCTCTCTCCCTCTCCCTCCCTCCCTCTCTCCCTCCCTCCCTCTCTCTCCTTCCCTCCCTCCTTCTCTCTCTCTCTCCCTCCCTCCCTTCCTCCCTCTCTCTCTTCCTCCCTCTCTCTCTTCCTCCCTCTCTCTCTCTTTCTCCCTCTCTCTCTCTCCTCTCTCTCTCTTTGTATGTATGTATGTATGCATACACACACAAATATATATAAATATGTGTGTCTATATGTATGTATCTATGTATATATACATATATGTACATATATATTTCCCCTTTTGCAGAACTAGGTTCAAATGTTAATTCTCAATAGATACTATTTGTATGACCCTGGTCAAGTCCCTGACCTCTTAGTGCTCTAGTTCAACTCTGAGACTATAAATTGGAGAGAAAGTACAGACCTGCATTGGTAGAGGGAGTTTCCTCCTCTGGAAATGTTTATATTAAGAAAATCATGAGTCCAGACCCAATCCCTCTCCCTTTTCTCACAATAACTGAAGTCCTCATAAGAGCATGATTTATAAGGGATCATGGCTTTACAGCTGTAAATATCATAGGGTTAAAAATCATGGCAGCAAGGAGGGTTAAATTTGAGATTAAGTTAAGATGAGCTTGTGGGTGCCTCTTTTCCTGGTCCAACTGCCTCATTTTACAGGAACAGGTTTGACCAATGATAGACAGTCAATAAACACTTACTAAGCATTTATTAAGCACCTATTATACCATTGTGCTAAGTACTGGTGATACACAGAGAAGTAAAAGATAGTTCCTGACTTTCAAGGAACTCTTAGTCTAGTGGAAGTGACAGAAACAAAATCTGACCTTGGATCCTCTGACTCTGAACCAGTTTTCTTATCACTGTGTTACTGGGCATCAAAGGGTTGGAGCTATATTCTTGAGCAGGGTCATGCCTTGGGGGAAGTGTTTCTTGCTCAGCCTCCACCTTCTCTCTTTGGTCCTTTGCAACACAGTCTCTCTCCTAACCTAGGAGGCCACTAGTCTTCTGTTTTGCATTCTCTTGGGCTGGGAGGAAAAGTGATTTCATCTACTTATTCACTGAGATTCTAGGTATGTAATCTGCTTTTTAAAAAGACATTGGAGGGACGAAAGTAATGCTTAACACAAAGTAATAAATTCCCAACATAGCCCTTGGGAAAAATTTCAGACCAAGTGTGTACCTCCACAGTGAAAGTGGGAGGACTTTCTCCTACCAAAGTCAGGAGTTTGGGATGGGGGGGGCAGTGTGAGTGGTGAAAGAATAAAGGATTTGAGAACATTAGCATAATCCTGCCCAGAACAATCTCTCTCTCCCAGCAACAAGAAACTAAGGGAATTACCTTGGTCATCCTATTTTAGCCCTGCTCTCACCTGCCTGAATGCCACTCCAAATACTGACCACTCTACTTTTTGTATTCAGTGTCCCTGATCCAGAGGCAGAGACAGCAGCTGCATTGTATAAACCAGAAAGTGGTGGTGATTGGGGGGAAAATGAAGGTACAACCATCCACAATAGTGTGTGATTAAGAAGACCCTGGAAAGAAATTGGGTCTGGGTCTAAACTAGGAGCTACTTAAGCAGACAGGCTGCCGGTCTGGTCCTATCCTGACTGTGTGCCTTCTGAACACTCAGGACAAGTTGATACTAATCATAAACTTTTCACCCTGTTAGCACGTTGTCATCCTATAAAGGAAAGTAAACAGTATTTCTGATAAAGTGTCCTCCCCTCCCATGCTAACCCATGAAGTATGCAGATGCAGACATTCTTGTGTTTCATAAAACAAATTATATTTTAAACGTGCTCTCTATGCACTACCCTCAACTCACTGCCCTTTCACTGAATTCTTAAACCATCTCTTACTCCTCTCTAAAAGGGGTGGCTACATACCTGAGTAGGAGGTACAAATCTGTGTTCCACAGCTGTGCCTTTGCACAGGCTATCCTGGAAGACTAGCCTATACCTGGAATGATTGCCTTCCTCACCTCTAGCTCTTAGAACCCCAGGTTTCCTTCAAAACTCTGCTCACACACCACCTTTTAAATAAGGCTTTTCTAATCCCCACCCCTGCTCCACTATTGGTGTCTCATTTATTTTATATGAAGCAGTATATGCTTATTTTGTATGTATTTCTAAGTGTACATATTATACACAATCTGTACCTACAGGCTGTCAACTCCTTGAGGGCTAGACTCAGTTTTGTCTTTGAATCCTCAGACTGGCACATGGTAGATTCTTAACAAATGCTTGTGGATTGATTGATCTCTTTAAGGTCCTGCCCTACAAAGACTGGGCACCTACTCTCCCCAGTCTTCTTTCCTACAGCACAATGAGAACACTAAATAAGAAACCAATTGTAAATCACCGTTTTAAAATAGCTAACATTTTTTATATTCACAGCTATCTACTGATATGTGACTGCCTTGAGGGCTTTTCCTTTAGATTATAAAATTAACTTGCATAGCATAGGATGAGCAGAACGAGTTTGATAATTATGAAACGGTAACCATAAATCGAGCTAAAGAGACCATTCATAAAGAGGGAAGCAGTTAACTAGCCCTTGGAATACATAGTATCATAAATTTAGAGCCGAAAGGGACCTTACAGGCCATCTGGTCCAGGATCCCTCATTTTACAGATCGGGAAACTGGGTCCCAGAGAGGTCATAACTAAAGTCACAAAGTTGACTGAGGCAGGATATGAACCCAGGTCCTCTGACACAAACAATTTGGTCCAATGTAAACTTGAGCAGGACCCTCTTCTGCAACATTCCTGACAAAGGCAATGTCTGCAGTAAAATGGGCAGCTCCCTATGTCCTGAGTCTCTCCATTTCACTTGTGGACAGCTAGGAAGTAGTTCCTTATAAAGAAATAAATTTTGCCTTTCTACAGCTTCTACCATATCACTCCTAATTGTGATCTTTGGGTTCAAGAAGAACAAGTTTAAACACCTAATGACAACTCTCCAAATATGTGAGCAATCATTATGTCTCCCTTAAGTCGTCCCTTGTCCACACTTAACAGCCCCTGTGCCTTCCCCCAATTCCTGTATGAGATGGTTTCCAGTCTTCTAGATAACATGGTTGTGCTCCTGTGGACCCAACTGGTCATAAACGGGGAAGATGCTGAACAAAGTTGGAAAGGAAAATAACATATGGGAGCTGTATGTGGTTCCCTGAAGGGTACATTGAAAAAGGTCAGAAGAGGCAAAAGGTTAAGGTGCCTTTGATGTTTCTGGAATTTCTTTGCTACCCACCTCACAATCTCTTGGGCAAGTCATATAACTTTGGACTTCAGTTTCACCGTCTGTAAAATGAGGAGTTTGGATCTGATGGTCCCTAAGGTGGTCCCTTCCAGCTTTTAAATCTATGATCCTGACTCCTTTCTTTAGAGGTCTGTAGTCCTCCTCTGTGTTATATTAAAGAACAGTTTAATGAGAACTAGAATAAAAAAAATTAGAAAACAGTTGTTCGAAATCCTACTTCTTTTACTAATTCTTAGAGATGTTACAATTTTTTAATCTGTATCGGGAAACTAAACAATAAACGTAAAGAACTATGACCTTCCAAGAACACAAAATAGAAATATATTATAATCCCTAAACAATCGTTGGTTTCTTTTTTCAACAGAATGAGATTAGGAAGCAAAAACTCCAGATTCTAATTTCTCCTGTTAGAAACTTACACTCATGTAATACTCATGGTGTTTTATTTCAAGAGAAACAAAACAAAAATTTGAATAACTTTCCAAATATCTCTCTGGTAAGTATTGGACCCATTTTTATGATACCAGATGATTTATTAGCTAATGTGAAGATGGAGCTTTGAAATGGTCCATTGTACCCTCTGAAATATGAAAACCATATCAGGTTAGCCAAATTATA